ATCAGGTCAAGCCGTGTATCCAAGAAGAAAGAAGTGATTATATTCCATGTTTTTGCCTTTGAACAAAAATGTAATTTACTTTTTTGTTTTGGGTAGATTGCGAAAATTATTTTTAGGGTTTTGTTACGAAATTGCCAAAGGGGGAGATTGTGAGATATTATTTTATATTTGGCAATTATCATAAACAAAACAAGTCCAAGTCAAGTTGTAATTCAAATTACTTGGCCTGCAAGTTATCAAGTTCGACAGCGACTACAGAACTGGGAAGTTGTTCAAACTTACCATGATTGAAGATCTTTTGAAGGAAAAGGTAAGAACAACGCATTAGGAAGGAAGTTTAAAAGGTTAGGACACATTCTATACTTGGCATTTATTTCGGACTTAACAAATACAGTGTTTTCAACTTGATTGAACCAAAAATTCAAGTTTGGTATACTTGAACCGGTTCAAGGCTTCAAGATTGGCTTTAAAATCTAATCTGCCAAACTTGAACCCGTTCAGCCCCTCCGAAACGATTCAAGAAGTCCTATTCACAATACAACTTTCAATTTCCTTTCCTGATTTGGTTACCAGTTGGTCTAGAATTTTACCAAATCCTATAAACGAATTTTTCCATATTTTCAGAGGGATTAGGTTATAAACCATGTCATATACATTGGTTTAAAAACGGCTTTTGCATTATCAGTTTATTATTCTTAAAAGCCTTAGGAAGATTTTTATCTCAGAAATTCTTAGAGAATAACCGATTCAAGAAGTCCTATTCATAATACAACTTTCAATTTCCTTTCCTGATTTGGTTACCAGTTGGTCTAGAATTTTACCAAATCCTATAAACGAATTTTTCCATATTTTCAGAGGGATTAGGTTATAAACCATGTCATATACATTAGTTTAAAAACGGCTTTTGCATTATCAGTTTATTATTCTTAAAAGCCTTAAGAAGATTTTTATCTCAGAAATTCTTAGAGAATTTTTTGTTTGTCTTTCTAGAACATAAACACATAAGCACTTAGTGAGTTTAGAGTTGTGTTGTTCGAATCCTGATTGTGATCATACAGTTGCATCTACATCGATCAGACAAAAGCAGATCTACTTTACATCAAATCCAAAAGTTAAATAGAAGTAAAAGCGACACTTTGAAAGGGTTGGAGCATTCGAGGAGTGTTGTCTGATCTACCTACTACTCTTCTACAAAGATTAAGCATAAGCCTGAGGTCAAGTTGCTATTAGACGGGGAGTCGCAAAGCCAGAGGATTATCGGCAGTTGGTGTTTGGTAGAACGATAGGGTGTGAGCCAGAGTCAAAGTTCAGTGTATTTTGTTTCAAATATAGTGGATCGATTTACTTTGTACTGCACAGTCCACGAGATTTTTCCCACGCAAACAGTTGACGTATTTTATCAACTGGAGTTTTCTCACTAAAATCCTGGTATCATCTCTAACTTTACTTTGCTTTATTTTAGATTGCATGATATTTATTTATTAATTGCTAAAATAAAGTAAGTTAAAAAAACACAAAATCTATTTTTAAAATAATCAAAACTTTCTAAGTATTTTCCACTGCGTACAACTCACACAGGTCATGAGTTCAAATTGGAAACAGATTTAGACCTCATAATAATGTTAGTATCGTGCATTGAGATAACACTTCAAATGTTTTATTTGGTTCCCTATCTGTTACTATATGCACACTTCGAGTGCAAAAAAATGTTAGATAAGGCCACCTAAGATATTTGCCAATTAAAGGAAAACAAGATGATGATGAAAATCTCGTGCACTGAACTAACCCCTCAAGTGTTTTATTTGGTTCCTATCCAGGGTATGTACACTTTGCTTGCCAAAAAGAGTTTAGATTAGGCCACCTAAGATATTTGCCAATTAAAGAATAACAAAATAATTATAGGATCCTCAATCAAGGTACCTATTATGTCATTAGACCTTTTTAATGTAAAAAGATTGAATCTTTTAAAGAAAATAAGAGTTTTGAGTTAAACTTATTCGATTTACCTATGAAGTCGCGAAGAGTGTTTTAATGATTAAAGATTAAATCTTTGAATGAAAATACCTCAATAAAGGTACATGTTTTGTCACTAGACCTTGAATTCAGATGAGATCGATCGATCGAATTCAGATGAGATCGATCGAACTATTCCCAGATCTATTTATATATTCTTGGTTGCACAACTTGTTGATTTTGGGACTTGGGATATTAATCAAGAATTGACATGGCTAAGACTTGGTTCTAGTCCAAATAATCGTGAAAGACTCGGTTCATTAAGTCCATGAATGCCGCTGGCGCATAAGATCAAAGCATGCCGGCCAGGGATCTACAGTTTTGCCAAGCCAATGATCCATTGAACTCATGGCACACTCTGCAAATAGTGCTAAGAAGAAAATTAGTGAAAATAGACCAGGCACAGTCACTGTATGCAGAAATTGAATACCCCTAGCAATTTCGATAGCAGCTGTCACTTAACTAAAATCCTCAATTAATTTGTTTTATGGAGAAGAGAGGTTGTTTGGTAGAGATACAATGGCTCATTTGGATTTTTCTCCAAGGTGGAGATTTGTTAGAATATTATGGCTCAAATCAAATTGTCAACTCAGCAAGCAACTTGGCAACTAAACACTTTCATCACCCATTATATCATTTCCCAAAATAAGCATAAACACAATTTAACATATGTATAACTAAATCTTGTATCCAATAAAAGATTTACAATCCCAACTCCAGTCCGCCAAAAGAACTCCAAGATAACCACATATCAAATCAAGATACCGAACAAACACAACGTGGCAGTGGTGGCAAGGACTTCATGGATTTTAAGTATGTTGGTGTGGTTGTTGAGGCGGCGCATGGAGGAGACTTCGCGGATGATGTGTGGCTCCATTGCAAAATTGGTGGCAAAAGGTTACACCCAAACCTATTGAATCGATTACACAGAGACATTCGTAGTTTTTCTCTGCTTGGACGTCGACCCCTCCCACCCCAGTTGGGGAGGAAAAGTGGTATCTATTAGAGAATATTTTGGTTTTATCTTTTCCTTGTATTGGATCCGTCACTCGCAATTAGAACATCAATTATTTCCCATCATCTCCAATCTTATAACTGTTAGAAAAATAGCACACGAATGCTCCAACCCTTTCAAAGTGTAATTACGTTTACTTCTCTTCTTCAAGATTTGAACTCGATTGTAAAAGAATTAAATCCTGTTGATTCACTCATGAGAAGAAGAACAAAACAGGCGCACCCAAAGACTCTAAGATGACTGTAGTCGGGAATCTTTCTATAGAGACGTTCATAAGGTGTCTGGTCTAGGTACTCATGCCCACCTTTGGGTATAAGCACACATACTCGAAGCATATCCTCCAAGATCTGGATAGTACGCTCTGACTGGCCATCTGTTTGTGGATGGAACGTCGTACTAAGATGCAACGCTGTACTGAACGCTGCTTGAAGTCCTTTCCTCTCTCCCGTTGGCTTGTGTTCTGTGCACACCTAGATGATCTCTAGATTGCAACACACTTTATAAAAGTATAATGACCACTCATTTTTATTTAGAAAACACAATTATGGAAATTGATGGATTGAAACTTTAGAACACTCTCCTCCATAAATTTCCACAATAGTGGATCATGAATGCGTAGACAAGTAATATATTTGGTTTGCCGAGTTTTGTTTGATGCTAGAAATGATCTTAGGTAGCTAGGTCATTCCTACCTTAACGATGTGGTCCAATTATACATGCACACATAATATGTAATTATAAACTAAAAAAGTAATAAATAAATAAAACAGAGAGGGTGTCTTAATTTACAATAAAAAAAATATTTGGTTTTTTAAGTAAGTAAGTCGCACACGCCCACAATTTCCCCCTTGTGGGGAATGTTCAGTCCACAAGGGCATGTCTGAGGAGTTCACAAATTTTGCTGCGAGCTAGTCCCTTATTCCCATCCCTAATATGTACACTTCGCCTGCCAAAAAAAAAAATTTAGATTAGGCCACCTAAGATATTTGCCGATTAAAGAATGAGAAGAATCTTATGATTTTTCATAGCCTGAATTTAGCTTTTCTATTAGAAAGAATAATTGATTTGATAAATCATGTAACATTAACAAATCTTCTTTCTAAATGAAAAACTAAAATCAGATTGCACTCCATTTGTCAAGAACTCAGGAACCTTTTTCAGCAAAGAATTATATTCTCTAAAGTTGTCTCTACTTCTAAATTGATTTGAATGAAACAATGTTTCTCAAAATTGTTTTTGTATGCTTGTGGGTGTTTTTAGTGCTTTGTTTGCTATCCCTTTTACTTGCAAGTTCTAACAAGCTTCCCCAAAGATTCTTATACAAATAGTTGAAAGAATGCTTCAAAGGTTTGAAAACAAAATTAATACAAACCAAACCACATTAAATTAACCTCATTTTTGTGTTGACATTAAAATCATATTTATTAGGCCGGACGATTATAACAATAATTGAAAACGACTCTTTCCCTGTATTTTATGGATTGATATCGATTTGTCAACGGTGTGTTTTCAGAAATTTAATTTTGTTTTCCCAATTTTGAAAGTAAAATCTATATAGAAAAAAATTAAGAGAAAAGCCAAAATTGGCCACGCAAGAACAAAACAAGTCTAATGGTTGACAATGTAGCCAAGAGGCTAAGCTGATCATAAACAGATAAGGTGACAACAAAATCATCCCCACGCATGCTTTAGTTTAGTGTATTATTTTATTAAGCACAGTGTTACATTTCAATATTATAATTCACTGTCCAAGTCCAAACCTTGACTCCGTCGACACCGCCGAGCACGCCCGTCCAAGATCACGGCCTCTGACATCGTGCCACGTGGCGGTCTCGCCACATATGGTGCCGGCACCCACTGGTAGGTGATGTTAAAATAAATGTGTTTCATAAAAAAACCATATGTTATAATTAATTGTGTACAAACATTGTGATGCAATTTGAATGTCAGTGTGATTCAAAATGAGCCACCAAGTGGGAATTTAAATTGGTGGTACAAGAAGTTAGTTAGCGAAAGGATGAGATGGTTTGAGTGAGACACATTTTACCATTCATTCTTAGAAAAAGGCCACTTCTTGCTCCATCTCTTTCCTCTCTTTCTTCCTCCTCCTTATCTATCTCTTCTTCTCCTTCTTCTTGATTCTAGAGAGAGAAATTAGAGAGAGAGTGATGGGGAATTGCCAGGCTGTGGATGCTGCTGCACTAGTGATACAACATCCAAGTGGGAGGATAGACAGGATGTATTGGCCTATGAGTGCTAGTGAAGTGATGAAATTGAACCCTGGTCACTATGTTTCTCTCATCATTCCTTTGCCTATTTCTGGTGAGGATCGGAATTCAGATGACAAGACGGTGCGTTTCACTCGTGTTAAGCTTCTCCGGCCTACTGATACTCTTGTTCTTGGCCGAGCCTATCGGCTTGTCACTACTCAAGGTTGGTTTTTGTGTTTCTCTTTTTAGTACTACTTCCTTTCTTGTGAAGCTGTTTGTGTTTTTTGGTTCTGAAAGTTTTGTCTGTTTTCTTTTGTTATAGAGGTTGTGAAGGTGTTGAGAGCGAAGAAGAACGCGAAGATGAAGAAGAACCAATCTGAATCGGCTGAGAAGTCGCAGAATATGGATATGGAGAAGCAGAGTTCAAGCTGTCAAGCAAAAACAGGAGGCTCGCAATTGGAGAGAACAAGTCAGGTATATATATAATAACTCTCTCTCGAGCCCATAATTCATTAGGCTTTCAATAGACATACATGTGCATGCACTCTAGTGGTGGAATAGCTCAAACAACATTATGATGCTGCTTGAGATACACTGGCATGTGTGTGTGTGACTGTGTGTGAAGGTGTAATTCAATTATAAAAAAAGAGGTTTAGCCGCAAATTTGAAATTATTTAGTCCATGAAATTACAAAACATGTCAAGAACTGAAATTTTTGGATGATTCATTTAGAAAATGTGATTAGTGCTGTGTATTGACATATATTTAACATGTTATTGTACACAAAAAAATGAGAGGCAGAGAAGATATGCTAGTGTCCTCTTAGGCAATTGAGTTGAATAACACATACTAGTCACAACTCACAACATGGTTTCATTTTTTAACCAAATCTGTTCATTTTTTTATTTATTCATGATTGAACACCATTCTCATTATCATATAAAAAATTTGAATTCCAGGCAATGAGACATGAAAGACTCCGGCAAAGGCCAGGATCGACGAATTTTGCTGCAGCAAGGTCCAAAGCAGCATGGTGCCCTTCTTTACAAAGCATCTCAGAAGCCGGGAGCTAATAATGGTGTTTTTCGGATTGTAATGTTCGAGACAGCCCCTTGAAAAGTGGGGTGAACTACCCTTTTCATCTACAGATGATCTTCTTCTTGTGAAGAAATGGAAACATAGATACAATAAATTCATGCAATTAAGTTGCTATCGGGATTTTCTAAACCATTGTCAATCACAAGTCAAGTATTTGAACCATCATTTCTGGTACAAAAAACCTCTCCCCTTTGTATAGCTAAAGAAAGAAAGAGCAATGGATCTGACATTGTTTACGCGACTAAAGATTACGTTGCTGAATTATATGTTACCTTCAAGTTTTTCTCGTGTTCATGGTTAAGAATTTCAAATTTAACAAAATAAGAACTTGTAAAAATATGTGAAACATTTAGAGATAATCACATTATGCAAGAAAAAATCACTAAATTATCAGACTTCCACACATGAAATTTGAACAAGTTAATACTGAAAGTTTAAGTGTTGATTCAACAGTTAAAAGCATCAGACAATAGGTCCATATCTAGGACATTGCCAGCATTGTTTGAACATGCACAAAAGGTTAAAAACAGCTTGATGAAAGCTGTGTTGGATAGAACTGTTTGATCTTTTGTAAGGCTAGATATTTGTTTTTGGGAGTCAATCATTGCACTTTTTTCAGGTCAAGCACAAATAATGCCCCCTAAGAGAGAAAAAATTATCACATGTCCAATTTTTTTGATGAAAAATCTGTATTTGAAAGACTATATAACCAGCTGAAATTAGAAAAAATAGTTTAAGGAAGTTGGATGGGGTAAGACAACTAAGTTTATAAACAATGAACATGTTGTGTATATGTTTGCTTATATCTCCTATGGTTATAATCTTCATTGACCATTACAAAGGTTGCAAAATTGCATGAATTTATTTAGCCCTCTCTAACAGTTTCTGTTACTCATATGTCACTATAAGAGAATCAAGATATTACAAGTTTCAGCCCTCAAACTCTAAGTTCCTATTTTCTCTTTTTTTTTTTTTAACGATTTTCAGTGGTCTCTCATTACTCACTCAAACCCTAAACGTCTTAAAAAATTAGGTAACAAGCAAGTACTAAACAGGGTCCGCAAACCCACGAAGCCTCACTGTTCGAATGAAAACCGAATTACAACGTAACTAAAGTCAAAACAAAATTTGAGCCACAACATCATATTTATTTCTATGCAGTTTAGCTCCTTCTCTAATTTGTACCCGTAAGGATTGAGCTCCAAGGGTCCTCATTATTAGTAAAGTTTACAATATTCTAATAGACTATCTGTATTCTTGAATGCATGATTCTATAAAATGAGCTCATTTCCTAGAGACTTTGCAAATATTAAGTTAATAAGAATCAATTTTACAATAATATTGTTTACAATGTTTAATTATCCCTAAAGGCATTGTTTTGAGGTTTGTATATTATCATCAGCAGTAAATGAAGGTCACAAATAGCTAAAAAAATTACTGTTAAGTTCTAAAGGGTTCTTGATCTTAAAATTAAAAAAGAGTACACTTCCCACCTTCTTTTTTTCACATATTTAACTTTTGAGAGTATTTTAAGTATATTACGCACTTATTATATTGTTATAATGCAAGGATAATAGTATTTATTCATTTTGAACTCTTATTAAGTGCCTTATTCTCATTAGGATCTGCCCCCATTGCAATTATTTTTTATTTACATTATTAGTTATATATTTTGTTACAATTTTGAAAATGCCCCCACTCAATATTACGCTTAGCATTCTTGCCCCCACTGTTTTTTTAATCCAAAAAATAATTGTCTCCCCTTTTCACTCTCTATCGCCTCCGCATTTATGATAATCAATTCTATTTCACACATTCTCATATTTCCGCTCAATTTTTGAAAATACCCACTAAATATTCATGCATCCATTAATATTTGTAGTAAAAAATAAAGTAAAATAAATCAGTTCTCTTATTGGACACAATTGAAAGGTTAAAAAAATCTAGTTCTCACACCGACACAAGTTAGAGATGGCCCAACACGTGTTGGACAAGCCACAAAAAATTGAATTCTCATATTTGAAATACCCCTACCCCCTCCCCCCACCAAAAAAAAAAAAAAAAAAGAAAAGTGTCTGGGTATCACTGCTTCTAATATAGTAAAATTTCTACAACCTGTGAGTGTTCCCTAATTTTTTAGTGAACCACATAAAATCCGTATTCTTGCTTATGTGTTTGATCTGTTCTCTTCCGTTAATTTTTGCAACAACTACTAGTCTAAGAAGTGAAAAAATAATTGGTGTCAAATTTTTTATTTTTTTTTATCTATGTACAACTTTCCAGCATCCACTTGCTATAATGTGTTCAACAGACAATTTGCAGCTGACACTCATTGGCATTATATGCATGTATTGAGACACCACATTCAGTACAAATGACCCCATTAAACACTATTACAAGAACATTTTTCAACTTTCAAATGTGAAAACAATTGGGCTAAGAAACTGTAGACCCCCCAAGGTCTATAATAGCTTCCATCAAGATACAGATATTTGAATTTTACCGACAAAATTTCCTATAAGAAGGTCCGATTATTCTTCACCTTTTAATGGACAGTCGAGAGTTCAAATTCGTTTAATTTCTTATATTGGCACGTGGGTGATTATTTTTATATAAAAAAAAATTAAAAAATAATTACTACATAATTAAAAAATAATAATCATCTTACTACCTTCAATAGCTTATAGTGTATATATAATTACTACAAAATAAAATTAGCTTTAGAGTTGTTAAGGTTGTAAGCTGCCTACCACATCAAAATAGGAAAATCTAGCTAATAACTTGAGTAAACTAATCAAAGTTGGGTTAATTATGTAATAAGCAGCCACCCCAAGCCCAAACTTGAGTGGATCGTTCTATTGACCAAAACCCAGTTTAGATTGGGTTGATTTGAGTATACTAGATGTTCGGAGCAACCCAATTTCATGAACATAATTTACAAAAATAAAAGGGTTGAAACAATGGGATCTGAAATGTTCTTGGACCAGCCCAATATCAGTTGTAAAGCATTGAAATAATGGGATCAGAAATGTTATTGGACCAGCCCAAAAGGCCCAATAATAGTTGTAAATGTCACATCCTATAAAAATATCATCATTCTGTTTGAAGTGAAGGCTAAAGGGCTTGATTGGTGAAATATATATATATCAATCAACCACAGTCATAATATTCCTTCCGTATGAACTAGAACACTCAACCACCAAATCTCTCTTTTCGAAAGGAGAAATCATATACCTTCCTTCAAAAAAAAATTAATAATAAAAATAAAAAATTGGAGGAGAAATCATATGTAAAATGATAAAAGTTGGTAATAATAAAATATAAAAAAAAGTGCTTAATAGCACCTAATACCGATATCTTTTTCCCTATTTACTTAGCCGCAAAAGATACAAATTCCAAATTGTCTACATTCTCATCATGGTGAAGAAACTAAGAGTAATAATGTGAACCTTTGTCTTTTCTCTATTTAGTACGTTGTCCCAAAGATAAAAATTCCAAATTGTGTACATTCTCGTATTGAAGAAACTAAGAATATATTTAATCTTTTCATTCATAATTAATAGTCATGGTATCGGTTGTCGTAATCGTCGTGGTGTAATAGATTTGGAGAAATATCAGTATAACTTGATCAAATCGAACGATTTATAGAAGTGTATAACGATATCAAACTCTTGAAATAATATGTCGGTATAGCCGCATGAGTTCTATCTCTTCCACACAAAAAATAAATTATATATATATATATATATATATATATATATATATAATAGGCAACGACTTCATGAATGCATTTTTAATTCATGACAAGAAAATTGAGATTAACCTCAATCTTTATTGATTCTTGAACCCTTCTAATATAAAATCCATAGTTTCTTTAAAAAAGGAGCTTTAAATTACTAGTTGTATTTGCAAAAGTAACACGTCTTCTCCATCTTTTGGACCTGCCACTATTGTTTCCATGGAATACTAGGAAAGCCAGCTCAAAAGCATAAACCAGTATTGAGAAATTTTTACCAATTTTATTTCACCAAGACTCTCCATGGATTGAAAGTAATTATAAGAAACTCATACATATATATATATATATATATATATATATATATATGGTCCACCCCAAAAATAGTTTCTTCAAATAAACAAGCCGCGATCTATATAATCATGCCATTGTTGGTAGAAAATAAAGAATGCAAGTGATCAACCTTGCTTCACAAATCAGCATTGTTAATGGCTGAATTCTACTTTAAAAAATAATAATAATAAATAAATAAATAAAATATCAACATGCATGACATGAATGAGAGTGTTCATTAGACTTCTCATATTGCCCTCAATATGCAGATGACAATATCACCTGAAATGTATATAAGGGGAGTTTGGTAGCGCGATGAGAAAGAGTAATTTTCTCGCAGTTATAGTTTCTTTTTCATGTATATATGAATGCTATGATACATGGATTTAAGTAGTGATTTTCACTTACTTGAATTGAAATATGAACAAAGTGAATTTTTCTAGCAAAAAGAAAGAAAAGAACAAAATGTGTGTGTGTGTGTATATATATATATATAATATTCATCAAAGATATAATGGTAAAAAGAAAGCTGTCCTCCTATTTTTATACATACCAAACCATCCCTGTCTACTTCTCTACTCACTTTAATCTTTTCATATCAACATTTTGGGCAATTAAGCTTTCGGTTGAACAGAAAATCACTTTAATAAATCTTTTGATAAAATCAGTGTTGTGCTTAAAGTTTAAGGCTTTTTCCTTTACCATTCCAAATTTAACTTTTACCCACATCATAGTTTATATTTGGCTGCAGCTGAAAAGGGCCTTGTGATTGCTGTTATGAAAGCGAAACAAAAATGATATATATATATATAGAATGGATTGTCTAATGAGGAGGTACTGTATATATATTTACATACTTGTGTTTGATGATTGTGTAGATGACTCTTTTGTCTCCACTCTTTGTTATGGAGGTCCAGAGCATGCACTATGAGAAAGCAATAAAGAACACCACGACATCCACGCTCCGCGATAGCATCCTCTTTCCCCTCTATGACCTCTCCTTTCAACTTCTTTTGATGATGGCATCCAAAGAAGAAAAAAAAAACATGGCCTCCCATCAAGCTAAAGACATCTTTTAATTAGCTCCCCATATTGAATCTCTACCAATCTCATTTTTCATTCCTATATATGAGAATTTCAATGAAAAATAGTAACATTTTTTTTTTTTTTTTTTTTTTTTTTGGGCAATGGGAAATTTGTATTAATATGATATAAGTATGTGTATATGTAGCTGTCCAAGCTCAAAATGTTCATTATTTGAAGAGACAAAAATTGGGAACTTTCCAGGTATGTGAGGTGATACAAATTTTCTTTTCTTTCTGGATGTAGATATAGGTATATTGAGTACTTTATGGACTTGAGGGTTGAGGGTGGTCCAGTCTTGAATTTAGCATAAAATTGCAAACCCCATGAATCAATAAACTCAGAATCATTCTAGCTTTTGAAACCTTTAGTCCGGGGGGTCTACCGGGCTTTTTACGGCAACCCCACGAGCATGGTTTTACATCCAAAGGTAAGATTTCAAAAGCTAAAAATTTTATAGGGTCCTCTCTCTTTTGTCATGTCCTCCTAAAGTTGAAATTCTCCTACAAAAAAGAGTTGGCAAAAGCTACACAATTTACTGACAAAATCCCAAAATCACAAAAGTATTTTTGGCTTTGGGGGCTTGTTTATACTTAGGATTCTTATTGCTTTGAAGAGCATTTTAATTTTGAAAAAATAAAGAATGGAATGTGTGGATGATGATCTTATGTGATAAGCTTAGGTTATATTGGGGGCCATGCGACTTCATGTGTCACTGCCACTATATTTCTTTAAAGTTGCCTCTGGGGACCTCTTTCTATTTGAGTTACACCCTCTTTTTATTTGATTGGTTTCCTCTTTATCCATTGAGTTTTTCAACTAACAGTGCTTCATTATTGTTTTTGGTTCTCTTTTATGCAATTATAATTAAATAATATATAACTACCAGTTTATTTCCAACTACCATAACATGGTATCATTGCTCTCATAATGGGGAATAATGGGAACTTGTTGCTAACTGTTAGGGCATAGGAGTCCGAACCATAAGCTCGGTTTATGTTGTCACTTTGCGGAATCTGATTAGGGTCGCACTTTACGAAATTTATTTATTTTTTTATGTCGAAGACTGTCTTTTATACAATTGGATGCTCTTTATATTTAGGGATTGTACATATAAATAGTGCAAATAGTTTATATTTACCTGGTGGAGTCGAAGTCTCATAATTTTTAAAAAATAAAATTAACGAAAATTTTGATGTGGACATGAAAAAATAATATTCACTCTTATAAAAGTACCATTTTTAGGCATATAAGTATCACTTTTTGTGCATCAGTTATCACTTTTTTGTACATCACAAAAAGTGATAGTTGATGCACAAAAAGTAATACCTGCATATATAAAAAGTGGTATCTATGTGCCTAAATGTGGTACTTCTCTGTGAGGGTAAACGATATTTTTCTAAAGTGGTACATATGTGCCTAAATGTGATACTTCTATGAAGGTAAACAGTATTTTTCTATGTCTTTAATTTTTTGAAAATATGAGATTTTGACTTTATCAAATAATAAATATTAGTCATTAACACTATTTATATGTAATTAAATCTCTTTATTTTTCGTGGTCAGGGTTATGTGATTTTGAGAGGCATTGCAACTGTGAAGTTTTCTATGTGAGAGCTCTCCGTTGTAAACAACACTCATTATTAGTAGTGAAATTTCTGATGTACTCTGTGAATATAGGCAGAATTATTTTATCGAATTAGTAAATCGCGTGGGTTCTTGTATGATTATTTTTTATTCCCAATACTAACAAAATTCAAAATTTTCATAGATCTCATGCATATTCATCCATTGAGTAAGCATCACGTCATCAAGGTACATTCAACATTAGAAACTTAAAAAAAAAAAATAGCATAAAATAAACAGATTATTTTATTTATTTGACACTTGGATTGCTTTGGATGTAGAACACAAAAGCGGCCACATACATGTAGTGCATGTACAATAAGTGGCATCTGAAAGTTAACAACTACTGTGTTATTGCCTTCCATGGCTTGTCATTTTGTTTGTCCCCTTGGTATTTTTTTAAATAAAATTCAAGCTTTTGTCTGATTTAATTCATGATGATGTGGTGGGCTATTATCCTTCAATTATATCATTATCAGTTTCTGATCACCAAACAAGACATATATTTTGTTTAATATATATGACCTTTTTAGTGGGGGTAAGATGATGGCTCTAATTGGTGAAATGGTCCCAAATCTTCTTTGGTCCCACTAATCCCATCCAATTAGAGAACGCCACGTGTCACTCATCCGTAAGGCCGCCCCCGAAGATAATGTCAGATTCACAATACTAAATCCAGCAAATGGACTTCCAACACCTTAGGTTAATTGGGGGATCCACATTGTTTGAAGAAAGTAATATCATCATCAACAAAGTGAACCATTAAAATAGTTGTGTCCTAATCAACACCTTGAATTCATATCAATAAAGTGGTCCTAGCTACATAGTCCATCAAGATTATCTGTAAAAAAAATAATGTTTTAGACGACTCTAATTCAGACACCAGTCCAAGAAGAAGAGCAGAAAAATGCGTACTGATGACCAAAAATTATCATATGCTTGTGTTAGATGTGTATATATATATCAAGATGTGTCATGCATCAACATAATAGAAGTACTTCCTAGAATGAATGGTTACCCTTTTGCACACTAAGGAAAGGGGCCATTGTGTTATGTGTATTATGTGCAAAATAATATACCATATGTCGGGGATCTAGGGCAAAGTGACAAACTTCATTTATATGACTCTTTTTTGAGGAAACTGCGAATAAAGTAGCCCTAATTAATGCCCTTAACTTTTCGTATGACAGGTTTATTCATGAGAAAAGGATTAGTCCATTGCACGTAAAACACGTTTGACGCTTTCAATTTTTCGAATGATATTACATTATATGTATTTTTACGTGATATTTTTGTCACCGTAAAATTTAAAAATCAGATTAACATAGCCTTACTTCTACATGTTACAATAAAGCGCCAAAATCCACCCCCGGTATATGCAAATCATTGTGTGTGTGAAATATGAGGGAGGACAGTGAAAAGTCTTGAGTTAGTGACAGAGAAGCAGTGGCTGAGGAGTCATATTCATTGAATGAAACAATCTTTTATTGCCAGGGGGGCCAATTAGTCTTTTCACTGCATAGCACCTCACAAAATTTCCTTTCTTTCTTCTTATAAAAAGGAAAAAAAAGTTAGTTTTAATGGTAAGAAACAAACGGCAAAGCTACAAAGTCTTCATTGTCATTCACGTGCATGACACAGAGAAAGAGATATAGAGAGAGAGAAATGAGAAAATATAGATTTCATTGATAAATCCAAATACAACACGCATTAGAAAAGGCCCCAAAGACCTTTGTATGGTTAGGCCAAATTTAGGCCAAGAAATTAATAGAAGGGAAAAAAAATTAAAAAGAATACACACGTGTAGCCAATACATTGGTGAAGACCATCAAAGTGTCAAAGTATGTATAGTTGGAACCAGAAGAAGCATTTCCCGCCAAAAAAAAAATAAAAAGGCACACACATACACACGTGCAGAACAAACACACACAAGCGTGTGCAACACATATCCACTCAAGAATCAATATGTATCAGGAGCCATCTTATTCTCTTCTTTCTCTGTCAGAGTTTGATGAAATGATGGTGGCCTAATATAAGATGAGAAGCTTGACTTATGGTAACAACAGCTCAAACTTCAAAGTTTTCAATCCCTTATTATTTTTGCCAACCCATTGATTTTTCTGACACTCTTTTCCCTTAACTCTAGGGCAAATGGTCCCACCATCTCCATCCTTTCATTCAATATTCAATGCTACCTTTGAATTCAATCACCTTCACTTCTCTCACACTCCATGACTCCCATTATTATACAATCTCTCTCTCTCCTCTCCTCTCTATCTCTCTCACACACAAAAATTATAGTATGTACCAAATCCCCCTCCTTTGGGAATCTGCAAAGCCATTATTAATGTATGGCATTATGGCAATGCCCACCAAAAAAAAATTAATAAATCTCCAAACTCTCATGCATACATGTATATATATATATACTAATAATCTACATCACTCATGCCACTCATGTCATTTTTTTTTTTTCTCCTCAAAACCCTCTGAAAAATAATGAGGATTCTAGACAACTTGGACCACCAACTCTTTTTTCTTTCCTTACTTTTTTTCTTTTCTTTGCTATTGTTCTCTCTTATTGTTTTTCTCATTGAGATCAAAAGTTCCTTTTGTCACCATCTACCCACAAGCTGTTATTTAATTTTTTCCTCTTGAAAGACGACGAGGAGGATGAGGATGAGGAGTCACCTGACCTGGTTCTCACCCGACTCATCACCCGGAGCTGTGGTAACACTTTTGGGGGCTTCTTTTGCCTATTGTCAACTTGCATTAGTTGGTAGCAATTCATGATCTTCTCCTGAAAAAATCAATATAATTCCGAGTTGGCATACTAATTATTTATTTTCAACGTATGCCCAATTTCAGTTATATCTATATACCTACTTTGCAAAGTCCATCACACCATGATTCAGCATGCGCAGGATTAACAAGAGAGAATTTTGGAATATCATGAGCTGCACATAGTATGGTTGCAGCAGCTATGCATGACGGCCGGTACTCAATAAAACTAGCCTCTGTTGACATCAGAATTATAAAATTAGTTGAATTTAACAACTAGGTTCCTTTAAATTAATTTCTAAATATACATAAACCAAAACATGCATTATACAATTTATACACACATATATATATATATATATATATATAATGTACAAGCGCATGATTCATGTATTTTGTAGTTTGGTTTACCTCGGATGTTAGATAGAATAATTTCTGTGGCCCTTGAGATGAGAAAGCCGGTATGAGTTCCTTCTGAATCGAGCTTGTATGCAAAGAAATTGATGAAGTGGAATGGTGTAACGGATCGTAGCCTCCAATCCAGAACACCAAGTACAAGAAATTCCATCCGACGGATTGTTCTTGGCTCGAAAATGTATTTGGCACTTTCAACCTACAAATTATGTAAAATTCAATAAATAAATTATGTATTTTAACAGCATATATATATATATATATATATATATATATATATATATATAGTTAAAATTGAGCAAGTATGTCATTGTTTAGATAGTACATTACATGAAAAAATAATTACCTGAAGGTCCAAAAGAGATGGAACCAGTGATTCCTCCATTTTCGCAGCTAATGACAAGCAAGCAACTGATAATAGTTGCATTGGCCATCCATTTGTTTGCTGAAATTAAATAAATAAATAACTAATCATATTCTGTTGATAAAATTTCAGTGTGCACCAATAATTATAACAACAAGAATACTGTGAAATTGCAGTCAATGGGCAGAGAGAACAAGAGATTATTTTTTTGGACAAAAAAAAAAAAAAATACAAAAGATTAATTATAAAATATATATATATAGATATTCCCAATCCATTCACAACCATTCTTAAGAAAAGACACCATAATGCATGTGATTGGTTAACTATAATTTTATCTCTCTTAATTATGTGCCAAATAGTCTTCTGTGTTTTTTTTTTTTCAATGAATTAATAAATATTGGGTCAACTATTGTTAGCCACATGGTTAAAACTTAAAAAGCAAGAAGATTCTGTTCAAGTATATATACTTTTCAAGATATTACTTATAGTATGATTTATATCACTTTAAAAAATATCAAAAAGAAAATTTTAATGTCCTTATTACTGAGACAAGTACTGAAGTACATGAATACAAATGATTGTTTGTTGGGTGGTACATTCAGTGTATAAAAAAGGAGTATTACGTACTCTACAGGACATTGTCATACACTTTACTGTATTAGTAGATACCACCACATTAAATCGAATACTTAGGAGTTATGTCCTTTTCATCATATTTGAAAAGTCAATATAATTAATTATTATAATTTTACGACAATTATCTTTAGAAGAGCCAAAAAAATAATAATAAAAATAAAAAAAATAATTTCATTTTGGATAGTTCTAATTAACTTAGAATCTTACCGGCAAACTGCGAAAGTAGAGGAACCGGTCGAAGTAGTTGACGGAGAGATACGCCGTTAATGGCTGGAAACCATAGTAAGCTTGCACCTTCAAAATAACATTTCAAACTTGATTAATTACTCTCAGCTCTACTCTAATTTCAATTTAACCAAACAAGGTATGAGATCAAAAATGGATCAAAGACCACTTTCATCTGATTATAATATGTGTGTGAATATGTATATGTAATTATGTGTGTATATATATAGTGTCACATCTCTGGCTGCGGCTAATGATCTAAAATGAGCCGGAATATGCTAAAATGAGCCGGCGTGAATCGAAGTAGAATCAGATTGCGTTTTTAATCGTACACACCCTGGCATACAATTTAGCATAACCGCACTATGCTAAAATGCGCCTCCCATGTCCCGATGGCGTCTCTGAAGGCTATCTGAATCAGAATCTGAACCCAAAAACTTCTACATATATACATAAACAGACACATATAGTGCGCGTGTGGAGTTGAACACCGGCGCACTGTAGCAGCGCCAACAACTTAATCGTACACGATCCAGTGGCATTCTCGAAATATTTGAGACTTATTATCCTGTCGTACCTGCGCAGGTTAGCGAGAAGTGGTGAAAAGGATGATCGGAATCGAGAATCGGTACCTTGAGAATCCATGAAACCGATTCTTCACGAGCAGCTGCATCTAACGACTGAGACTGAAACCTCTCGATATAGTCGATTCCAGGCACGTAGTTTCTCTCCTCTTCTATCAATCCGGCGATTGATTCTTCTACGTAAGCCGGAGATTCAACGTCCGACGAGCATTCCGGCGAGTCTCCGGACAAGATTTCGGAGTCCTCGCAGCAGAGCAGATCGGAGAAGCAGTCGGAGCAAGAGACTGACATGATCGCCGGCTGTGAATCATACTGTTCTCATCTTTTCCCGATCGAATGGAAACGTCTGCAAGACTTGCCGGAATGTCGTCGGAGAAATCGCCGCCTGTGTGTGTGAAGATGAGAGGTTTATGGTTTAGTTTTGAAGTTTCTATCTGTTTCTTCGGATATAAATAAAAGATTACTGTATGAAATATTATATAATTTTTTATTTTATTTTTTTTGGTTTCGCTAAAAGTGCAAGACCAGAAAGCGGAGATTAAAATCTTGAATTTTCATTTTTTCGAGAATTTTTGTTTTTTGTTACTAATTTGGGAGGGAAAGTTTGGAGCTTAGTTAGATGTATTTCAAAGAGTATTAAATAGCATCAGTTAGGTTGTATTTCGAAGGGTATTAAATTGCATCAGTGCAAGTTTATATCCTTTGTGGAGTGTGTCCAAAATTTGATTCACAATTTTCACATACAACAACCAATGACTTGGAGGTTTTTCTTTTTTCTTCTTATTTTTCGGTTTATATCATTAGGTCATAGTATTGGGAATTGAAAATATTAACGAGAGAAAACACACAATTTTATCGGAAAATTTTACTATCATTAATATATATATTTACAGTGGAGTGTTTTCACAATCTCGTAATTCGGTTGCATCTCAACAAAGGATGGCAAAATATTCCGCTCCATTGAGTACATACTTCATCTTGTCTCGTTTAGAACAATTATGGAAGTGATTAAATGGTTTTGGAACGGAGATGGATTAAGATTGAAAAAACTCCATGCTTATGAGGTGGGGATGCAGAAAGGTCACTCCGACTTCGCCTTGCTCTTGCCCTTTTTATAATGATAATATTAGGTATATATTTAGCTCTAATCACTAAATATTATTTTGTATTATTCTTATTTGAGGACTTTTATATATTATTTTGATGTTCTTTCAACAATATTAAGTTTTAAGTTCTAATTGAGAAGTTGAATTTTATTTTTATTTATATTTCATTTTTTTTACTTTCACTAGATTCATAATACAATTACGAAAGTACTCTACAAAACCCATATCTCATCTCACCTCCGCCCCACCTCATTTAATAAACGGTTTTTGACATATATGAGAATAGCTATGTTAAACAAGGATGAACATGGGGATGGCGTTCCCCTCCCTAAATTGCTCCCATTATCATCCCTAATATCAACACACACAACCAAGGAAGAACATATGTACGGATGGGGGGCAATTGCCCACCCCCTGAAATTTTATTATTATTATTATTAATATGCCTTATTAAATTATTCTTTTTCAGTTATACACCTTTAAAATATTACTAAATTATTCTTTTTCAAACATATACTCTTAAAATATTACTATTAACCCCTCCCCCCAAACTAAAAGGGATGGTGGATTCAACGGAGAGCCCAACCCGATCGAGATAAATTGGAAACTTAAACCATACTTGTAACTCAACTCCACAACCTTAACATATATTTCATTTTCAAATAAGTAAAATAAATATAAAAGGAAAGAAAGATGATATAATGACCGGTCATTTTCCTTCTTTTCTTTTTTCAGTGAATTTCTTTTTTTGTCTTTTCCCTATTTCGTCCTTTAGTCGTTTTTCATTTTTCCTTGCATAACGTCACTTTTTGTGCTCGGATTTGATTCCAGCTTTGCATACATCCATGATATTTCATTTTCATGATACCTACATTTTCACTTTTGTAGAAAAGTATGTTAAATGGTTATTTTTCTTGTAAATGGCATGAATGTAAAACTTTTGATAATTACTCTAAACCTGGGGGGTGTTGTGTAATTAAATAAAGTAATTATTTTTCGTCTTAGGGACTATTTCACAATTTAATTTGGAAGATATTTTTAAAAAGGACCTTTTTGCAATTTACGAAAAATGTGACAAGTGTCACATTCCTAAGGTGCCACTTGTTGATTTTGTGGTGAAACCACTTGGAAGCCTTGTTTGATGACACATGGAGGGTGAAGATTCACCCATTTGTTGGCCTAGGATGGGAGCACTTGTTAGCATGGATGGTTGACAAGTGTAGGTTTGATATTTAATCTTGAAAGTTTACATAGGATGGTGACAAATGTAGGCTTCACAATTGGTCTTGCAATTGTGTGTGTGTGTGTGTGAAAAGTAGTGCAAAAGCACCCAGTGAGTGGAGAATCCCACCATTTAGTTTAGGGTTTACACCTTTGTCTCATTTTCATCTCTTTCCTCTCAAGAGCCCTAACTTAGCCACCATTGGAGCAAAACTTGACTTAGAGTTTTGACTTCATTTTTGATACCCTTCCACTCACCTTAGACCATTAAGCTTAGAATACTTTATCTTCCTCTCACTCTCCTCTACAAAACCCTAGTTTGGGTTTTCATTTTAAGTTTGGTTGCTTTGGATTATAGAGATTCAATTTTCTATTGAGGTAGGGGTGGTTGTATGTTTATCCTCTTTAGGTTTTATATATATTGGAGCTTGATATATATTGATTACATGCTTTTTAAATTATTGTAATTACATATAAATAGAGATTTTATATGCTTAACTTAGGATTTGTGGATTAAAGCATATATATGACTATTAAATTGTATAGGTATGTTATTATTTAATGATTTGCCTAATACTTATGATTTCATTGAGGGTTATTATGAATATCTTGAAATTGCACTTATGTTGTTAAGTAAATGGAGATTTCATTGAGAGTTTAGTATGAAAATCTTGTATATAGCACTTGTAATTACTTGTAGGTAGATTACTATGTTTCATGATTATTAATTGCGGCCTACATTAATATTAAATTCATATGGCATAATGTGTAGTAACATTTGCTTGTCATTTTAAACATGTAACCTTAGGGCATGGTTTGTGTGGTTTTGCCCTACTTGTGTTTGGTAGGTAGTTTCATGTATTCAGATTACATAAATGTCATGAACTTGTTGATTTTTGGAAGCTTGTAAGGATATGAGATATTGATGGCTAGGGTTTGGCTCCAGTACGGAGGATGGGAATTCTCTTAAGTCATAGTGCGCACTAGGTTGTACCTTGTGGGTCGTAATTACCCAAAATAACTTGTATGGTCTCGTGGCCACATATCCTAGTCTTTCCATTATTTGATTTCGTATTACTTTCCAAGTTGAAAATCATGGATTTCTTGTAGCTTGTGATTTGGTAATCTTAATTATAATGTGGTTAGTGTACTTGTTTTGTATACTTGGATGCTACGTGCTTATCGTTTCAAACATTTGTATAGCTTGAGATGATCCCTTAGAGTACCATGGAAACATAGACGCTAGGTGGAATGCACCCTTGTGATGGTCTATGTTTGGTTTACATTATACTTGAAACTATAGGGTATGCGCATGCACCACATCCTATGTAATGATCCGGATTTTTCGGATAAATTTTGTTCCGTCGTCTTTTTTCTTCTGAGTTTGGTTTCTTATCGATTAGTGTCGTCTCGAGTGCTCTGGAGTGATTTCCAAGACTCTTTTCTGTGAATTGACAACTTCCTTTGAGGACCGAGTCAGTTCCGCACTTTTCGTTTTTCGACACTATTCACTTTCCGTCTTTTTCCCTATTTCGTCTTTTCCTCGTTTGGCACTTTATTTGCGTAACCACACTTCTTGTGTTCGGAGTTGGTTTCTGACTTCACGTATCTTCATTCCCAATGATTTCTATGAGATAAGTATCTTTACTTTCGTGAGAAAGTACTCTGGTTGCTCCCGGTGTCCATAGGGGCATAAATGCAAAGTTCTTTGAAAACTTTTTCTTTTGGTGGGGTGTTTTTCATAAATATCTTTTGAAGATATTTTATTTTAGGGGTATCTAAGTAAATATCTTTTGGAAGATATTTTCATTCTGGGGCAGTTTCAAAGTTTTCACTTTTTTGGAAGGGCCATTGTGCAATTAATGAAAGTTATTGCTCAATGCCTTGTTTTGAGCCTGGATCCTCGTATAGGATTCATTTTCACATTTTTTCGAGTTATGGACTCTTAGAATTTCCTCCTGAACGATGTTTTCCAATTACAAGGTTTCTTGCCCTAGTTTACGCCAAACTTGTTTTGGGCATAACTCTCTGCTCGGGACTCAGTTTTTAACGCCGTTTCTTCCGTTGTTCATATTATCTCATTTGGAATCTTTTTCATTCACGGAGTTTTGCCATTTGAGCCCGTCTGCGTGAATTCCACTTTTCCGGACCCGGCGGGGCTCGTTCGAGGCACTTTTTGAGTTTTTTTATAAATAGGAGGTTGACGACGGCCGTTCCAATACACCAAACTAAATGTAGTGAATGTGTGGTTTAAGAAAAGCCCTTTATGTCAAATTTAAATTTATAAAAACCACTACCAACACCACTACTAACGTAGCAAGAGTGAGTAGGGATCGTCCCAAGGAATTATACGTGTTGGAATTTCAACTTCGACTCTAGCGTACCAAATGATTGCAAAAAAGAGTTGGGTTGGTTGATTACTTCTAGAAAAGAATTAATTAAAATGCAATAAAAATAAAACTAAGTAGAGATAGGGATTTAAGAGATGAGAAGAGAGGACTTAGGGTGTTGGAATCACCACTAAGCTCATGTAATTAACCACTTGCTTTCCATTAATGGGGAATACATTGTTGTGAACAAAATTGGTTCGACTAGCAAAGGTGACTCAACAAGTGTATAATGTCTAAACAACATGTGAAAGGCTACAATATATCTATTGGAAGAGGAATATATTATCTAGACAACATGTGAAGAGAACAAAATATCAAATCAAGTCATTAAATCTTTCATTAAGCTCATAGTCCAAATAATTCACAAGGATGACTTAGTTAAACATGTATTGTTTAAACATCATGTGAGAGGCCACAATATATCTATTGGGAGAGGAATATATTGTCTAAACACATGTGAAAGATACAATATATCATAATAAGTCATTAATCCTTCATTAAGCTCAAAATTCCATTACACCACAATATTAGAGCATATGCTTCTTGCATTCAAAAACATGGAATATCAAAGAACAAGCATGAATTGTCTCCCCCATCTAACACTACACTACAACTACATTACTAGCATGAAAATAAACTAAGGGAGAGGTACAATCCATCAAGGAATAAGTATGAATCATCAAAAGACATAACAAGAGCATTCCATTAAGCACTAATGTCTAGCCATCACTAGATTCTCAATTAACCACACATAGACATGCAATTAATATAGAAAAACTAGTGTAGAGATCAATTCCCCAAATAATCACACATAAGACAACATGTAATTAAAATAGAGAATCAATGGAAGAATTAACCCATATGAATCATGTGAGGCATAATTCCTAATTTAATCACACATAGACATGTAAATAAACTAGAGAATTAATAG